AGGGGTGGGGAGAGAGACTCAGGGACTAACTAAACTGTCGAGGGTGGGCTTACTGACAGCGGTTCCCCTGGAGAAAAATGGGTTAGAGAGGGGGCTCAGAGAGGGAGGGGGCTCTGAGTGGGGGGGAGGAGCCAGAGAAGGGGCGGGGTCTTGGTGGAGCGCTAGGGTTCAGCGCGGCCGCCTCGCGCAGCAAGGTGGGTACTACGCGGAGAAGGAGTAGGAGGCTGCAGACAGCATGTCGAAATCTCTAGCAGCTCTAGCTTCGGGGCGTGAGTCACCTGAACCCCCACGGCTCTAAGTGCTCTTGGCCGCAGCCCAGGAAGCTGAGGAGTGGGAGTTGGGGTTCTCGCTCCGGTGAGGGGGCGCGCTCTGGACGGTGACTGCTCTCTGCGTCCACAGGGGCTGCAGAGAAGAGCTCCAAGCACGGGGCGGAGGACCGGACGCAGAACATCATCATGGTGCTCAAGGACCGCATGAAGATCCGGGAGCGGAACAAACCTGAGATCTTCGAGCTCATCCAGGAGATCTTCGCCGTGACCAAGACCGCGCATACGCAGCAGATGAAGGCGGTCAAGCAGAGCGTGCTGGACGGCACGTCCAAGTGGTCGGCCAAGATCAGCATCACTGGTGAGGCCGCGGGGGTGGGGGTGGCCACGGGGTCCCTTCTTCTCAGCCCCCTGTGCTCCCTCCTATGGCTCTTCCTTTGGCTGTGTGTAGTGTGTCCATATCTGTCCCATGTCCCTAGGTGTGTTTGTGCTCCCGCGGTGGGCATGTGTGCCTCCAAATGGGAGTGCATGACGCTGTCTGCATGAGTCATGGTTTGTGCCCCACCCCACCCCCAGAATCAGACCCCAAGAAGAAGAGTTGAGGGCACGTTGTTTATCTAGGGGGTGATGCCGTGGGAGTTGAGAAGTGAGCCTGGGACGGAAGGAGCCCTACACAGGGTGTCAACGATCAGGACCACTGGGGGACAGTGCTGACCACTGGGGGCAGAAGGGTCCTGCCCGGGTGGAGGCCTTCGGATGTTCATCCATGCCCAACCTCATTCGAATTTCCCTGAAAGCAGACCCCAAGATGAGGATTTCGGGGCAGATGGGTATCCAGAAGGTGGCCCCAGGAAGCCCCAGTGTGGGTGGAGACATGAGTCTGGGAGCAGGAAGAGAAGGAGCCCTGCAGGGGACCCCAATAAACAGGCAGCTCTGAGAGCAACTGTAGGCTCAATCCTGCTGGAAATTTCAGGAGGACAATGTACAGAATGTCTTACCCAGGGGTGACCCAGGGCAACCTTCCCATCCAGCATCAGCCGAGGACTCCGGGGGTGTTAACTCTTCAGGAAGCCCTTCCTGTCTTGTGGGCGTCCCCATGGGCTCCCATGGTCAGAACAAAGCCCTCAGGCCATGTCGCAGGTGTCCCCAATAAGCAGCAGGGAACCTGTGGCAGTGACTCTTCTCCGTACGCCTCACTCCTTGAGCCCGTATTTGTATTTGTCCTGTGTGTCTTCCAGTGGTCTGTGCCCAGGGCTTGCAGGCAAAGGACAAGACGGGATCCAGTGACCCCTATGTCACTGTCCAGGTTGGGAAGACCAAGAAACGGACGAAAACCATCTATGGGAACCTGAACCCTGTGTGGGAGGAGAACTTCCACTTGTAAGTGCCTGGCTGAACCCCTGGCCGCCCAGGTGGACTCCCTGCTGGAGCAGCCAAAGGGGGCTCCAAGACCAGCCACCTGACCCCCGCCTCTGCCTCCCCTCCCCCCCCCCCGCAGTGAATGTCACAACTCCTCAGACCGAATCAAGGTGCGTGTCTGGGACGAGGATGATGACATCAAATCCCGTGTGAAGCAGCGGTTTAAGAGGGAATCCGATGACTTCCTGGGACAGACGATCATCGAGGTGCGGACACTCAGCGGCGAGATGGACGTGTGGTACAACCTGGGTGAGCATGGGTGGTGTCCTGCAAGGGGACAGGGAGGGTGCCCCAGGGGGCCCAAGTGGGGAACCAGTGTCAGGAGGAGGTAGTCTAGGAGCCCAGTCTGATGGAAAAGGTAGGGTCTGTGTGTCCCAATCTGATGGGGGAATCAGGATCTGTGAGGCCCAGTCTGATGGGGGAGGAAGGGTCTTCCGTGAGGCCCAGTCTGATGGGGGAGGAAGGGTCTTC